CCAACTGAATTTTCTAAGACACGGTTAATGAGATGCATATTTTTGAATATATAAAAATGCAAAAGGTGTAAAATGGGTGGTTATAATAATGCCCGAAGGTTTTCGTCAAATATACTGTTTGTGTCTTGGAAAAATCAGTTGTACAACATATCGAAATTGTTTTTTCCTTCGGGGCCTGGCTTTAAAAAACCAGCATTAACTATAGATAGATTAATTTCTCTGTCTTCATCATAAAAAAAAATTAAAAATTCTCAGCATAAAGATTACATTTTGTTTGAAGATCTTGATAATCTGAACAAGGATACAATCATATTTTGACTAATCATGAAATATCTTCATCACAATCATCAGCATCAGCAATCATTATCAGCATTGTCTTTGTCATAGTTATTGTTGCTGCCTTTATCATCATAGTTATCATCTTTTTCATCATCATCATTATCATCAGCAACGTACCACCAGAACCGGCATGATATGTTATTTTTCAAATAATAGTATGTTAGTCGTAAGTAGCGCCATCATGTCAGCAAGGCTTCATTTTTTTAAAATTAGAATGATATACATGAATATATTTTAATGTACTTTCCGTTCATATTTTAATATCATAATCATCATTATCACCATGTTATCATTATCAACATTGTCATCAAAATTGTCATCATCAGCACCGTTCATATTTTAATATCATAATCATCATTATCACCATTGTTATCATTATCACCGTTGTCATCAAAATCATCATCAGCTCCGTTCATATTTTAATATCATAATCATCATTATCACCATTGTTATCATTATCACCGTTGTCATCAAAATCGTCATCATCATCACTGTTCATATTTTAATATCATAATCATCATTATCACCATTGTTATCATTATCACCGTTGTCATCAAAATCGTCATCATCAGCACCGTTCATATTTTAATATCATAATCATCATTATCACCATTGTTATCATTATCACCATTGTCATCAAAATCGTCATCATCTGCACCGTTCATATTTTAATATCATAATCAACATTATCACCATTGTTATCATTATCACCGTTGTCATCAAAATCGTCATCATCATCACTGTTCATATTTTAATATCATAATCATCATTATCACCATTGTTATCATTATCAACATTGTAATCAAAATTGTCATCATCACCACCGTTCATATTTTAATATCACAATCATCATTATCACCATTGTTATCATTATCACCGTTGTCATCAAAATCGTCATCATCAGCACCGTTCATATTTTAATATCACAATCATCATTATCACCATTGTTATCATTATCAACATTGTAATCAAAATTGTCATCATCAGCACCGTTCATATTTTAATATCATAATCATCATTATCACCATTGTTATCATCATCAACATTGTAATCAAAATCAACATTGTAATCAAAATCATCATCATCACCACCGTTCATATTTTAATATCACAATCATCATTATCACCATTGTTATCATTATTAACATTGTAATCAAAATCATCATCATCAGCACCATCGTCATTGCTATTGCCACCATCGCTGCCATCATTGTCAATAAGTTACATCCCTACACTTTTGTACATTAATCAATTGTTTCCAACCATTTTTACAGATCATCTTACATTGACAACGAATGGGTTACTTTTGAGACATCTGGCACCTTGGTGGTAGGCTGGGATGGCGGTCCATCAAGAGCAGTTACTCGTCAAGAGCAGAGAAGAGATGGCACAAAGGATCCAATTATGCAACAGTTAAAACAAATTGGCATTGGAAAGCACGAATTGAGAGCATATAACTCTGCTATTGAAGTAGCAGCAGCAGCCTCCATCGGTATGTATCGTAATCACAGTGGTATAAGTTATATTATAATGGTTTTTTTTTTATTATCATAATATTTTAATCTATTGGTTCCCATTGGATATTAGTACATAATAATGTTACGAATTTGTGCTTATAGGTTAGAACCACCGCTAGCCACCATGTATCGGTAATGTGTCGAGAGCCAAGCCAATGTAATAAGGTAGCAGGAGACAAAAGTAAAATAGTTGCAAATATACTTTAATATAAAAACAATGTTGAGGAGTACACTGATTAGGACTGATGTAATTGTCTCTAAAATCAATACTCGAACTGATTTCCTAACTAAACACAGGTACAAATATACATGGGGACAGGAAACAGGGATTGATGACTCATTTAATTAGTAATGGTCATAATAATTTGGGAACACATGCTTTGCTATAGTGGTGGCAACTTCCTGGAGGAATGGTAGGAAAATACAACCTCAGGAATGTACATACGGTTAGTCACGGATTGCAACACTACTACAGGTATGCTCTGGGGAACAAGAGGGGTGAACGCCTTAGGTGCCATGCAACTATAGGGTACTATGTTACAACAGCTAGAATAATAATATATAAGTAGATTTATTATATTATGATGTAGAAAAAATATTGATAAAACTATATGTACTATTATTTGCAAACAATGATTTCAGCAATGTAGGTGCAGGGAAAAAAAAGGGCTGCTGTAGTAATAGACTGAGTTACTTGGATATGTAGTTAACATCTTACAAAACGACAGCTATTAATCGAGAAACATGGCTTATTAGTGTGGTTGGATGGATGGATTTATTCGGCATTCTTTACATGTACACAGGACCATATGCACACAGGAACAATAGCTTAAATGTCTCATCCGAAAGACGATGTGCTATCTTAAACTTACGTTTCAGCCCTCCAGTGGAAATACAAGGGAAGCATCAGATACAATTGAACCGGGAACAAAGAAATCTCCAGGGGTTTGGCACACCCAAAGTTGCTACCACCAGTTTAGCCGACTGAGCTACGTATTTCAAACATAAACTTGTGTGTATTTGAGGCATGCAAATATTCCTGGCCTGCCCATTGAATAATATGATCTGATTGGTCAGTTGTTAAGTTCTATTGACACTCTGGAAACATCCATCAAGCAAGCATTTATTATTTTGATGCTTGCTATTATTATTTACATTGATATTGTACTTGTTTCCAGGTAAACAATTACCTCAGTTGCCGCCACCACCTAGCGATAAACAGTCTGATAGTCTGCCAACGTATCGGTCAATTGACACGGAGAAAGTGACAAAACATGCTGGGCACCATCAGGACTACAACGCAATTACATTACATGCACTCACCAGTGACCTGACCAAAACTTTCAACAACTTGAAGAAGGCTATTGTAAGTCATGACAGTTTTGACTATGAATTATGCATCTGAATATGACCTATTGTTTGTATATTTGGGCACCTTGACTCTCTGATAAAGCCCTGTCCATGCCTAAATATAGTCACCAACATTTCTGTGTGTAAATGACCTTCATATAAGCGCAGATCTATATTGGACATTTAGAACGTTAAAATATAATATAATAATTCTACTGGTCTATCATCTTAAAAATGGCTTGTGTTTTTTTTTTTCTTTTCTATGTAGGTCCTAGCCCATCGTGGTCAGCATTGGACCCTTCTACAGAATGCCAGCAGAGCCATGTGGAACTGTGCGCACACCAGTCTTCTGTATTGTTTTGCCAACGGCCATGCCTCCGGGATCCTGTCTGTTGAAGCCATGAGATCCATTGTGTGTCAGCCGTTCTTTGTGGCTGCAGACTGCATTCTGGACATGCTTGCAGCGTTGCAAAACAACAGTAACACAAAGGTATTGTTTGTTTTGTTTGCAATTCTCATAATGATATGAGAGAGCAGCTTAGGTCAGTCGGCTAATCTGGTGGTAGCCACTGTGTGTGCGCTGAACCGTGGAGATCTCTAGGTTTTCCGGTTCAATTCCCATCGCTGCCTCTCCTTGTGTTTCAGCTGGAGGGCTGAAATACAAGTTACAATACACACTGTCTTTCGGATGAGACGTTTATGGTCCCGTGTGCATTTATGGCATATGTGCACGTTAAAGAATGCAGTACACTCTTCGAAATAGAGTGGGGGATTGTCTCCTTGTGTACTGCCCAATGAGTCTTCCTTTAAGCTTTCTTGGGCTATCCTTGGTGTTTCCACCAAATAAATCCAATTCCAATGCACTTGGAGGGGGAAAATGTCAAGAAAATTATCTTGTATTGTGTTTTCCAAATGCAAGCCAGTAGACATCTGATCAAAAAATGTATGTGTCTTTTCAAGTTGTATAATCTAATTGTTTTAAATTGTGTTGTTTACAGCAACATTATATTTGCAATATGCTATAATAACATGCCATCATCGCTGCCGTCTTTGTCAATAAGTTACATCCCTGCGCTTTTTCACATTCAGTTGTTTCCAACCGTTTTTACAGATCATCTTAATACATGACATGCAATATAAGACATGAAATGAATAAATCCTAAAATCTTGATAATGATATTGATAATGAAGATGAATATGAAAAATGATTCACAAGCAATGAATGGGTTATTTATAGTATTCCTACAGTATGCTCTTACAAATTCCATGGTTAGTGTTTAATGAGAATTATTTCAGATTATTTATTATTACCATATCCATTCTTAGGCCAAGAAAAATATGAAAGATATGGTAAACAGTGACCTGATGGGCAACGTTACTGATGAAATTGGTGGCACTAGCCTGAAGTTTGAGAAGTACTTGGATGACTGTAGCATGGTGGACAAACACTGGATCAGACGTATGATACTGCGAGTCCTGGAGATGCTGTACTATGAACAGCAGTGGGAAAAGCTTACTGATATTGCAATGAGGTTTAATGTCCTCACCAAGTAAGTGAAATGAATGTCCTGCTAATGTACCAGTGAGGTTTAATATCCTCATCAAAAAAAGTGAATTAATTCTCTCACAGAAATATTAATGAGATTTAGGCCTAGTTCAGACTAGGGGGATAAACCCGGCTCAACTCACCGGGTTTATCCACCTGCCAGTCTGAACTAGGTGGCTTATCTCAAGCCGGGCTGTGTTCCTATAGTAACTAGGCCTGGCGCGCCACTTTTCTAAGCCGGGCTTTAATCGTTGCTGGGGGTCTTACATTGACTTCGGGTGACGAAATGACCAATCATCATCCAATTACGTACGCTGTGAGCGAGCGTACATTTCGCGAGCAATATGTTTTGAAACACGTTTTCAGGTTACGGTTCATTATTATGCAAATTCTCGTCTGGCTAAACCTGCTAGTCTGAACGCCCGGCAAAGTTAAGCCGGGCTTAAAGTTGAGCCAGGCGTAACTCAAGCCTGGCTTATCTCCAAGTCTGAACGTAGCCTTACATTAATATCCTCACCAAATAAGTATACATTTTTCACAGAAAAAGCAGTTAAGATTGAATGTCCTCACCAAATATTGAAGTGATGAATCCAACTATTAGTGTATTTCTCCTCTGCCCTCATGCTTTTGAAAAAAAAAAACATTTTGCTAAATAAGAAAACGAAGTACTGTAAGTGGCTCGGTCATAAAGGAATGATGTTTTTATTCTTTATTAACCAAGTAAAATATATATCTGACAGAGAAAGCAAAATTTTGTTCTCACCCACTTAGTGTAGTTCAAGAATATGACTCAAAGAGAAAGGAAAGGGTTCTAAATGTTCTCATACTGTATCTTCAAAAGTAGCTCATATACACATGCTAATGACACATGCCATCCTCATTTAAATAAATTAAATCAATGTCCCTTGTTTATATAGTGAACGATATTCAGAGCAGATTGGACCATTAATTTGCCAAGCCCAGCAGAAGTTGATTTCCAGGATCAAGGCATACGGTGGACCAGAACCCCCTCAGAGTGCCTTCAGGTTGGCTGCTGAAGCCAACGATGTACCCATCACTGCTAAGAACTACATGAATGTACAGCTGATTAGTGGTCACCATGAGAGGGTGTCTGAACCATTGGAGATGGGGGGAAGAATTGATCCAGAGGGGCACAATGTGTATGGGGGTAAGTAGCATACTCCTCATTCAAGTTAGTTATTAATGCAACCAGTAAATTAAGATGATTCTACTTTTATTGATATATTATATTTTTGTATCTATTTTGATATATGGCAAGTTTTTTCTTTCTAAAACCAACTTACAAAATAGTGGAATTTTCCATTAATTTTTAAATATAAAATACATGTGTAAATCCCCATCTCCTTATACATGTCAATATATTGTAATATTTTTCAGGTGCGTGTGATGCAATGAAGCTTGTGTGTGTTCCATTGGATGTTGCCGATAGTCTTCAAAACTTCCGTCAAGCATTGGACATATGTTACTACACATCGAGGGCGCTACAACACTCCAGGAAACTGCTGATTCTTTATCTAGCTGGCCAACAAATATGTAAGCCTTTTGTTGTACACAATTTATATTGAGTGATTTTCAGAAAATATAACCTGGCACATACTGCCTCAGCTGACAAATTCTTTATGCTTTCAGTAAATGCTTGCCTGTTGCAATGCCAGTAGGTTACACTCTGGGGCGGATTGTCGTTTAAAATGATATGTTGTATAATGCATCATTGTGGTCTTATGGAATCACATCAGACACAAATGATGTATGTCCTGGTGTTCATAGTGTATAAGCTTGTTGGTTTAGCTTCTAATTTTTATGCTTTGTTTATGTACTCGATACAGTCTTTCTAATTTACAAAGGTGATCATAATAGAAAAGATATTTTTGTTTAAAAGCTATGCTGTCTTTGCCAATTTAAGCTCATGCAAAGAATATAAAAACACTATTTAATGTACGTACATGTTAGGCAAGAAAATTCTAATTGTTCTAATTTTTGAACTGAAAGCTAGAAGATATATTCTACATAAAATATGAAAAAAATTGATATTAATAGTAATAAGAATAATAATGCCAATATCACTAAACCGAAGTAAAAAGTAAATGTTAAAAAAGTGAGGTTTCAGTTTGGCCTTAAAAATAGCTACTGATAAAATATAATTAATTCTGATAAAATATATTTAATAATCCAAATACATGTCTCTCTCTAATTAAAGACCCCTCCAATTAAAGACCAATTTTACAAGGCCCCAAATTAACAAGTGTCTTTTGGATTTATTATACCAATTAGAGACCAAAGTTGATAAAAGTCCATGAACCCCTGTTCCCAAAAAGTGGTCTTTAAGTTGAGGGAGACCTGTATATAATTAATTTATTCAAATTCATTACTTTAACATAGACAGTGATTTTTAGTAATCATCTCAAAAACTGTTGTATTTGTTGATTCATTAATGTAACAAATTTGTTGTCATGTATTAATTTAGGTCCTAATATGGGCAGGCAAAGTCGTGTAGATTTCAGTGAGACAGATGATAAGATACAAAGTGACGTGCCACCTGATCTCAGGAAATCAGAATTCAGTAACCTGACGGACATCCAAACTCCAGCTTTGCCAAAGTCCCAGCTAGCTGTCGTCATGTCATCCTACAGTAAAACAATAGGTTGGCTATTCTTATTTGGGATTATTTCTGGTATAATACTGATAGTCTAGTAAATGATAACCTGAATGAATTGATACATGCCAATTAAGCTTTCTTGAAAGAACTTACCTTGAAAATAATGGAATCATCCATCAGCAAGAAGTATAATTATATTCATTAACAAGCCATCAAGCACAGAAAAAGTATCATATCAGGAATGTAATATAATTTAGTAATATTCTCCTGTATTGTGTTACTAAACATGATATAATAAATTATATATATATATATATGTGTTTCTATGAAAATTTGACAAGATTAAAATTAATGTACTATTAACAGAGTGTTATTGTATTGTCTGTCTTTCATTAATATGATTTTTTGTACAGAAATGCTGTTGTCAAGGAAACATACAGACTTAGCTGCTCAAGGGAGCCATGAACTGGGAAATCTTCACTACCATTCTGGCAATATAAGGTACAGCAGGGGTGGGCATAAAATTCGGCCGGTGGGTCAAAGTGAATTTCTGATTTAACACCGAATTTTAAATAAGCATAATAATATTAGTATTAAAACTAGCTCAATAAACTTCAACATAGTTTCCCTCGTTGCATTTGTTGCAGTATATGAGGTATATAATATCTGTCTCTTATACACATCTTTGTAGACGAATCTAAATTGCACATTATTTACATTGCCCTGGTGGGAGTCATTAAAAAGCAAAATTACACGATTACAGGTAAAAACGAGTAAAAAGAAATGTAAACTAAATTGATCACATCAACATTAAATCAAATTTAAACATGGATATATCAGAAAATTAGACAGTACATTAAATCAAATTACAGGACAGAAACTCAAATGATCACATCAACACCAAGTCTTATTCTGATATCCCTCAACCAGAGTGGACATAAAAATTGATTGGATCATTATTGATCAAAATTTACAAATGTATAAATTATGTACATAGTAGTTACTTGTTCAAAAGTTTAAGTTTGGCCTTAAAAATTTCAGTAAACGCTTGCCTGGTGCAATGCTAGTATGACTGATGAGGTTACACTCTGGGGCGGATTGTCGTTTAAAATGATATGTTGTACAATGCATCATTGTGGTCTTATGGAATCACATCAGACACAAATGATGTATGTCCTGGTGTTCATAGTGTATAAGCTTGTTGGTTTAGCTTCTAATTTTTATGCTTTGTTTATGTACTCGATACAGTCTTTCTAATTTACAAAGGTGATCATAATAGAAAAGATATTTTTGTTTAAAAGCTATGCTGTCTTTGCCAATTTAAGCTCATGCAAAGAATTTAAAAACACTATTTAATGTACGTACATGTTAGGCAAGAAAATATTGCTTGTTCTAAATTTTAACTGAAAGCTAGAAGATATATGCTACATAAAATATGAAAAAAGTGATATTAATAGTAATAAGAATAATAATGCCAATATCACTAAACCGAAGTAAAATGTAAATGTTAAAAAAGTGAGGTTTGAGTTTGGCCTTAAAAATAGCTACTGATAAAATATAATTAATTCTGATAAAATATATTTAATCCAAATACTTGTCTCCCTCTAATTAAAGACCCCTCCAATTAAAGACCACTTTTACAAGGCCCCAAATTAACAAGTGTCTTTTGGATTTATTATACTAATTAGAGACCAAAGTTGATAAAAGTCCATGAACCCCTGTTCCCAAAAAGTGGTCTTTAAGTTGAGGGAGACCTGTATATAATTAATTTATTTAAATTCATTACTTTAACATAGACAGTGATTTTTAGTAATCATCTCAAAAACTGTTTGTATTTGTTGATTCATTAATGTAACAAATTTGCTTGTTGTCATGTTTTAATTTAGGCCCTAATATGGGCAGGCAAAGTCGTGTAGATTTCAGTGAGACAGATGATAAGATACAAAGTGACGTGCCACCTGATCTCAGGAAATCAGAATTCAGTAACATGACGGACATCCAAACTCCAGCTTTGCCAAAGTCCCAGCTAGCTGTTGTCATGTCATCCTACAGTAAAACAATAGGTTGGCTATTCTTATTTGTGATTATTTCTGGTATAATACTGATAGTCTAGTAAATGATAACCTGAATGAATTGATACATGCCAATTAAGCTTCCTTGAAAGAACTTACCTTGAAAATAATGGAATCATCCATCAGCAAGAAGTATAACTATATTCATTAACAAGCCATCAAGCACAGAAAAATTATCATATCAGGAATGTAATATAATTTAGTAATATTCTCCTGTATTGTGTTACTAAACATGATATAATAAATTATATATATATATATATGTGTTTCTATGAAAATTTGACAAGATTAAAATTAATGTACTATTAACAGAGTGTTATTGTATTGTCTGTCTTTCATTAATATGATTTTTTGTACAGAAATGCTGTTGTCAAGGAAACATACAGACTTAGCTGCTCAAGGGAGCCATGAACTGGGAAATCTTCACTACCATTCTGGCAATATAAGGTACAGCAGGGGTGGGCATAAAATTCGGCCGGTGGGTCAAAGTGAATTTCTGATTTAACACCGAATTTTAAATAAGCATAATAATATTAGTATTAAAACTAGCTCAATAAACTTCTTTGTATTTATTAGATTTGATGGGCTGTTATTGGGCAATATTGTACTTGAATGGCCTTAATGTTTATATATATATTTGAATTTGTTAATGTTTAAAGATATTTTTTTTTTTTTGTAATTTTTTTTATATTCTTAAGTAATTCTAAATACAATATTTTCAGCTTTTGCTGCCCAATGTACATTTTTTGTATGTGTACATATACAGAAATAAATAAATAAATAAAAAGAATTATATCTATTTCTTTTTTTTTTTTGCTTAAATTTGTAATGCAGAGCTGCATTTAGATGGTGGTCTGAGGCACTGGACTTGATCCTAAAGACAACTGACACCCTTCACACATGGAGGAAAATTCTTGGTGGAAGCAGTGAGGATGACATCAGCAGCCAGTTGTTGCAAAGATGTGGAATGTGGGGATGTCTTCTAGGAGCCATTCTTGCATCAAAGATTGCTCAGTAAGTCTTTAAGAAACTGTGGGGTCCACCGATATATTTGACACAAGGTACCGTAAAAATGTAGAATTGGCTTAATCTTGAGAAGAAGCCCATCTCGAATTGAAGCACCCCTCTTTAGTTTACAAAAGTAGCCTCGAAAAGAAGCCCATTTCAAAATGAAGCCCATCTTGAAAGGAAGCCCACCCAAGTTCACAAAAAACAAGAATCCCAGGGCTTTAATTCAGGGTTTTATGGCAGTATAACAAACTCTGAAGATAAGAAAATCAAGCCATTGTGATTCTATTGCAAGCTGTATTTGTTTATTTTCAGTAATGAAAGGTGAACAAATATACTTCCGAAGATTCAAACATGATGGCTTGCATCACTCATAGTTTGTTTCATGCTCCCTTTAGTCTAATTTTTTATGCTACTTTAAGATAATTCAAATTTTTTTAAAAGTTATCATATCATACTCATATTTTTTTTATTTATTAAAATGGTCATTATAAAATTATAATGATAATGAGTAATGATTAAAAAAATTAAAGTTAAAATAATCATGATCATAAAGATTGTAAATGTTTTCATTGATTGTTTTATTACATTTTTCTAGATATATTTTAACATCCGATTTGGGTTTGCGTATGGAGAGTTGTTTCCTGTCAGCGTTTTTGTTCAAAGCCATCTTCTGTACCTCGCTCCCACACCCAACTGCTGATCGCGACTACGCCCTCTATGAGATAGGTGAAGGTTGCGAAGTCCAGTACCTAGTGCCGGGTGTTGACCTCCTGTCGGACAAGTTCCGATGTGAGGGAAGAACCCTTGTGTCTTGTTTAAGATGGGTTACGGAAGAACTGTTCCGAGGCAGACACAACCTAATGGTATGATTATCCAAACTGAAATTAATAAAATCTTCTTTGATAGAATACTATTCTAATTTTCTTTTAAATTGGCACGCACAAGCAGTGCGGCGAGCGTCGGTCTCGAACTCCCGATCTCACGATCAGAAGTCCAACACCTTACAGGCTGCGCCACACGCTCCTACAGACAATTAACATTTTGACGAGATTTGATTGACAGATAAACCGACTAATCAGCGAGCGTCATTTAGTCACGTGATCAAAAACTTTTTCTCTGACATTTTTATAGTAAATGTTTGAAATAGATGTTGGTTACCACTGTTTGGCCGACGTTTTCCAGAGGTTGTAAATATTAAATGTGATTACAGACCTTGTCTCATCGTCACAGAACGCTGTTGGCCCGACGTCGGTAAACATTTGGAATGGAGGTTGGTTACAACCGTTGGTCCGACGTTGGTTAGAGGTTGTAAATATTAGGATGTGATTATAGACATTGTCCCAACGTCACTGTACTTTGTTGGCCCGATGTTGGTAAACGATAGTGGAGGTTGGTGACAACAGTTGGGCCGACGTTGGTTAGAGGTTGTAAATTTCAAACGTTTACCGACGTCGTGCATGAAAAGCGCCACACCAGTATTTCTTATTATGAGCTCAGTAGCCACATGTACCTTTTATTTACCTATTTTTTTATTCATGGAATGGGAATTTCATTATATTTGTCAAGGCACACCTTGACATTTATTGATTTATGCAGGTAAGGGAGTTTTTTACTCAAGACAAACAACTACATTTATTCATAATTTTTTTTTTCTTTAACTTTGTGGACCAAGCTTGCGGGTGATTTTTTTTTAAAGAAATGTTTTCACATTTATTAAAATATTGAGACTGCTGCATAATATTGAATTTTATATCTCTTTGTTTTTAGGTCTTACCTCTCCTTACCTTGTATAACTATTTCACAACCTTCATCTGCCGTGATCTTCAACGAACTATAGATGGAAGAATTCTCAAGGTAAATCAATAGGATGTCTTTGAATACATTTATTTCATTTGTAACATTTACTGTTTTGTGAATATACTGTATAATGCATTTTGCAATCCAAAGAATTTCCAACGCTATTACCCATTCCCCCAGGTCAATTTGAACCCCCGACTTAACGTTGATTCTCAGCCCACAAATGGTGTTACCTCCCTTTCACTAAATACTAAACTAAATACTTCATATATATTATTAAGTAGAGGAACATATCTTGTTTCTTTCAAAGCAGTATCATTCATGTAATTGAATAATTTGTTTTTTGCAGGTCAGAATTTTAACAGACCTCGGACTGTACACGGAAGCACTGACTGTTCTGAATCGGATTCTTAATGGTGAACGTCTACCTCAAACGGCTGATAGCAACTTCAGACAGGTGTCTGCTATTGTGGTCAGTATATATTTCTTTTATTAAGACTGACATTATGAGATTAGGTGAATGGATTTAAGATATTTAACAGAAAAGTCTATGCAAGCAGTGCAACCTGATTAAATCTTCCTGCTACATAGCTCTTTGGCTTCATCTATAGTATTTTCTAAATTCCTGTCCAGGATATCAAATTGTATTTGAAAAAAAATAGTGACATGCCTAAATATGGTCTTGATGACATCACATCATGACCATATATAGGCACATCATGACTATATATGGGCATACAGAAGCTTGTTGTCAATAGAATGTAATAGTCTCGATGGGGCTTTATAGCTGTCTGGCCTAAGCCAAGTGGTGAAATAGTGTGTAATTTTCTATATTTTGCTGTTTTTCTATCCTTTTTTTTCTTATGTGAGTTTTTAGGGTACAGTATTTCATGGTTTAATCCCTACTTTTTATTAGCGCGTAGATACGATTTTGATTGAGGAAGGCGCTTTAGAAATCCTATGCCATTACCATCTTTGTTGTACATTTATCGTTATTTATTTGTATGTTTCCCCCTCAGTCGTCTCTCAAATACAACACAGACAAGCCAGTTACAGATCCAGTCAATATTAAGGTATACATTAAACTTTGTGAATTTGCTCTTTAGTTTGTTTTTGGTAATTGTTACATGCATTATTTTTTTAATCGTGGCAGTTATTATATCTAATTTTTGTGCAATAATTATTAAAACCAACAATAATCATTAAGATATTATGGGTTGAGCTGCTGAGTAAAGAGTTGCCAATTAGAATTACAGGTCTTCCTCTAATTAAAGTCCCCTCCAATTAAAGGTTAGAGACCAAAGCTGCTATAAGACTATGGAAACCCCAGTCTCAAAAGTGGTCTTTAATTTGAGGGAGACCTACAGTATACTATATTCTGTTTACATGTGCAAATATTGTGCTATATTTTATCAGTTACTATATTGTGTTGGTATGTAACATGATTTCTTCTTCTTTTCATGCATGTCATCAGGTCCTAGGAACTCTGGTTGAAAAACGTCTGTCTCCGTCCTTAGCAACCATGTATGGCCCGCACCTGACCTGCCATCTGTCTTTGGCTCAAGCGCATCTTATGATTGCTTTAGCCAATAGCATACCAGTTTTGCCATCAAAGGAAGAAGCAATGTAAGAATACTTTATTGTTGCTGATTTTAATCTGTTGCTCCAACCAATTCTGGTATTCTTGCGCAAACGACTACTTTGATTCTTTTCATCGTAATTTACTCTTATACTTGGTACCATTGTACATAGACATGACATAGATGTGAGGGACCCCAAGGAGTTCCTCGGCAATGTCTAAGCCACAGGTGGGCAAAGTGTGACCCGCCAGTGATTTTTTTTTTGCAGCCCGCGAAAATAAATTACAAACTCTATGTCTGCGGCCTGCCAACCATCTTTGGCTAGAAAACACCTTGCTTTTTGCGGCCCGGCACCGATGATCTGTAAAATTTAATAGTAAAACTAAGCATAAAGTGCCCATAACACAGTGTATGAAGGTTTTTGGAAGTGCACTGAAACATAAAATTTTGGGTGTGGCCCTCGGTGTGGAATCAAAAATTGACTTTGGCCCTCCGACCCATTTTAATACCCACCAGGTCTAAGTCAGTAGAGAGCCACTTTGCTAATTTGACTAATCTATGTATGTATATATGTATATGTGTGTGTGTGTGTGTGTATATGGATATGAATGTCCGTTGGTAAGAATTATCTTTGCCTTAGTTTCCCCGAAGCTCCAAATGAAGGAAGAAAGTCGAGCGCAGCAGGAAGTACCGTCAATAAACCTCAGGTATCAGTTGCATCCCGGAAGACAGACAGAGACGCAAAGATAATAATCACTCCACGACTCACCATTGAGGATGCACTGGGTAAGACAATCAGTCATTTATATAATGGTAACAATTTTATACTAAAGCACTTCCCAAATGTAAGAATGTGAGATCACAAAATCTTGAACGAAGTAAATGAATACGTATGTGTCTTTGTATACTTTTCAAATGTAAGAATGTCAATCTGCAATATCTTAATCGACTTCTTTGTATGCGTAATGCATAGATATATTTTTTGTATAAAACCCTTTTTTTTTTATTGGACTTCTCAGCCGCTTCTGTTGATGATGTGTCTGTGGAAAGTTTGAATGTAAAGGACAATCTTGGAGGGTTTGCAACCGGAATGAGTTTGCCAGGCCTAGAGAAGATGAAGGTGAGTGTGTTGCCATATATGTCTATATACTCTTACTGTACTAGTTAAGCTTACTACTTGCATTGTTAAAATTTAACATTAATACCTTAATTCATGTATATTATCATTTCACAGGGAGTGTTGTTATGCACTGCGGAACGATTTCTCAACATCTTAGTAGATTGCATGGAAGAAAAAGGTAAAATTTGGTGATTATTTTTTGGTTTCAATTTCTTTGTAAATTAATGATCTTGGATGCTGATTTTAAAATTGGGAGTTGCAACAACCCAAAATATAATATTCTTAATGAAACCAGTTGATTTATTTTTCCAAAATGTAGGTAATAGATACTTAGTCTTTGTTTGGTTAAAATATTTATAATAATTGATAAGTGGTGCTGTAGGTTTGTGTGTAAGATGCTTGGCTCCCTTCTAATCCCAGGGAATTGGGTTCATATCCAATGAGATGTCAGGAATCCAATTCCAAGGCTCATTAGGAGACTTGGCTTTATGGTTAATTATATTTTATAGTTGAAAATGTTATTATTGGCATTACTATCAATAATAAATAGGTTGGTGGTACAACCCATGTTGTGAACTTTAATCATCTTTAGGAGACAATTAGAGCAATCTATTTGAAACATTCTAAACAAAGCAACAACTTTAATCTGAACTATCTATACCAATAAGATCTATGTAGTGTACCACAAACCTATTTATTATTGTTGTTTCACCTTGCAAGCCTTTAAAAAATATAAAACTATTTTCCATATAGGCACTGCAACGCTACATGCCTCTGAACTGGAGTTGGTGGTGCTTGGCAAGCTTGAGTTGGCGTCGGTGTATTGTCAGTACCAGTTGGCCTCCAAGTCTGCCTCAGCAGTGGCCTCTGCCATGCTGGCTATACAGACCAGTGTAATTTTCCATCAACCAACTGCAAAGAACACTCGCAATTCTTTGAGGTATGAATTACCAACTGAAACAAGGCTGATCTTTTGATTTTTTTAAGTTTAAATAGCAATACTATATATTTGAGAATGCTTGTTTTAATTAATGATACACAATGCCATATTATTTTCATTTATTTTATTGGTACAAACGGCCCAAGGGCTGCATCAGCAACAGAGTGTCATAATCTGAAGTGGTGCCTGCAAGCCTTATACATAAAACAGGATACAATAGAATTACAATTTAATATCTGTACAAGCAATTATTCAATTATTCAAATTCATCGAAACATTAAACATTTTTTTTTTCAAAACACTGAAAATATACAATACAGTGAAATTTAATGTTAAATTATTTTGTTTGACTATAAATATAAATAATACAGAATAGTAAAATAATGAAGATTTGCTTTTGTTAATTTATACCTATCTATTTCAATTGAAGAAGACATTTTTTTTCTAAGTAGCTAAATAGCTACCATAATAATTCAATCCTCATATTTTCCATTATTCTTTTCTTTTTTCCCTTCTCTTGAGTAGGAGATCTTCTATGAAAGGAAGTCACCAGCATGTGTTAGAGATGTCATCTCAAGACTTCAATTATACTGATGAGTCTCAGTCTCAATCAAGTCACTTCCAGTACCAAAACTCCCAAAGTCGAGCACGACTTGATGGCAGACTTTGGCTGAATAGCAGGCTGACACTTGTAAAGAACCTGATGACAGGGGTCAGAGGCATGGGCCATATATCAGGTAAGCAATCACTCACTCACTCAATCAATCAATCAATTAATCAGTTATTTCCGGGTGAATATTTTATGTCTATATAGTATGCCAATACCTATTACCTTGCCTTTGGATCCAACACCTATGGAACACATTGATGCTCCTGGGAGTATATATTATAATGTTTCATATATTAAGTTTGATAAACTGTTCTTATAAGTCTTGCGCCTTGGATATATTTGTTAAGATCCCACAAAAAGTAGCAACAGAGATATACCTCCATACCAAAGTTACTTTCTCAAAGAAAGTGATAGCGTAAATGTATACAAACACACATCTTTGTCGGAAAACGTGTGTTTTTAGGACAAGCTTGTATGTTTGTGCAAGAAGCATGTATATTTGTGGAATATGTGTGAGTTCCAGGCCCCGCTATGATAGGTTTTTTGTTAAGCTTGACACTCGGAAATATCTGTTGCACATCCTCATTAAAACTTTTCAGGGTACCCACTTTACGCAGTACTCTTTCTTGTGGTTGGAAGAGTCAACATGTAAGTGCCTTGTCCAGTGACACACCAAAATATAAATATATATGAAACGTAGAACTGTGTTTTTATTTCAGAAGACAATTCAGAGAAATTAGACTTGAGTGAATGCCGTGAACATTGCATGCAGGGCCTGACAGAGGCAGAAGCATGTGGAGACATTGAACTACAGGCAGAATTCCTTCTGCAGGGCGCCCTCTTGGACTTGCAGGAAGGACGTGCCTTGTCAGATGTTAAACAAACGCTGAAGGTAGGCATTGCAATGCGTTATATGATTGATATTAAACAGCAGTGTCAGGAAAGGGAGGGCAAAAGAAAATGTTTCTCATTTGACTGCCTTAGTTCAAATTTTCACAATAATCTGGATGCAACAGCATGCCATTTTCCCATCCCTTTTTTTTTTTTTTTTTTCAAAATCCTGCAGTTTGGCGTGATTTCAGTAAAAAAATATTTCTTTTTAATGTATAATATTCATTATTGTACTTTTCTTAATTGTATTTTCAGGAGGTGGTGGACCTTCTGACTGGGCTTCAGACACTCTCCCCAGAAGCTTCACGGCTGCAGTGTCTTGCAAGAACCCACCTCATTGACCTGGAAGCACTGGATATCCCAGAGGAGGTAGCGACTACCACATTAGCTTTGCAGATTACGTTGCAGAGTTATTGTGAGGTGCAAGATATGCTCTTACAACAGGTCAGTCATTTCACATAAAATATCTATACTCTTAAATTTGATATTCCATTGTCATAATCAAAACATTTAATGTATTTAAATCAAAAAATGATCAAGATATCTATTTTTTTTCTCTTGAATTTGTTCTCTTTATATAAGATTTGTCTTTCTGACCTCTGCTCCACTCTAACTTTCCTTTTTTTCTGCACCTTTTGTTCACTTTTTGATGGAGGTAATGCTTAGTCCAATGGTGCTGAAACATGGTCAAACCTTCTGTAGGTTTGACGTTTATTGGTAACATAATTTCAACTTTGAATTCTTTCAGATGAAGTACCTTGGAGAATGTGTTGAGATACACAACATACAGCCGGCATTATCTAGCTTAACATTCCCGTTTCATAACATTTATTTGCCACACTTGCTCCTATTGGTTAAGTTGAAGATGAGGATTGGCTACACGATGGCAAGGCAGGCTAGCTTCAGGTAGGTACCAACTCCACATGAATTATACGCTCTGTATGCCCATATATAGTCATGATGTGCCTACTGTATATATATAGTGATGTTATGTCATATTTAGGGATGTCAAAAAAAAAAACTTATATTCTGCAGGGCTTTTGACCAAACAAAATAAATGGTTGCATTGGTACATACCGTACAAATATCCTGAATATGCGTTATAGCTCTTGATAGCAATTGTGTGATAAAAATGGCAAATCCTGCTATAATTTATATTATTAAATATACACACATAAATCAGAAAAATGCCATATACAAACTTGTTTCACATGGACAGCTGTCAAAAACTGTCCACAATCATCAGGTACAAATACATAGTAAATATGTATTTATTTTAGTATATTTTTTAAAAACTGGCATGCTATTTTTTAAAAAGTTTTGTTTTATTTTACAGTACGGAAGAAGAGTCAACCATGTTGTGGCGTTTAAGTGCTGATGTGTTAGCAAGTGCTTTATCACTGAGCAGAGTCTGTGTTCGTACAAACTTTACATTACAAGCGGAGATACTTCTTCATTTCGGTTAGTTTGTTTTTCCCTTAGATTTTAAAATTCTCTATTCTTTATTCAAACTAGTTTAGAAAAATGAAAATAATTTTTTTTTTTAAATTATTTTCTTCTGATTCTTTAAAAAAATTTTTTTTTTCACATTGATGAGTGGGCTAACAGGCCAAAAACATATTATGATCAGTTGCGGATCCAGAGATGTCTGGGAGGGGGGCCGAAAGTGGGGCCGATCGAGATAACACTACCCTAGGGGGACCGGGGGAGTGCTCCCGCGAAATTTTTGTTATCTAGACACCCAAAAATAACCTCTAAGGAGTTTTGGGCGATCAGTTTTTTCTTTTTCCTAATTTTTTTTTTGCTTTATTTAACTTTCTAAAAAAGGGAGCCAACCCCCCTAAATTCGCCCCTGATAATTTGTAGGTGACGGGTTTACAAAACAAAGTATAAAAATCGTGCCTAAAAATAATTAATAATGCAAATATAAATATAGTAAATAATATTTTTTAATTTTCAGGTAAAGTAGAGCATCAGTTATTTAAAGCTGGATTGTGTTCCTGCAGATCTGTTGTAGACACCTTGGTGCAAGCAATCTCCACTAGCTATACTGCAAATCACGATCTACAGTAAGTTTTACATTTACCTTTTCTCATTAGAGATATTTTAAAGCAGAATTTACTCATAGCTAGCAGTAATAATAATCAGCACAATTAACAATTCTGTTAATATTATTTTTTTTACTAATGCATTGTTTTCTAGTGTGTTGTTTGTGGTATGTTTTTCTTTTAATTATTTTCTGTTATACATGCAGTAGAAGTGGTTTGGTGCAGCGGGAACAGTTTGGTTTCCCATCCTCTTGGGTGGGGTTTCAATTTCTAACTGCATTTTGCTTGTGTCCTTGAGCACTTTATCTGTATTGCTTCCCTCCACTCAGGAGTATAAATGTTTACCTGATGGGGTTGCCTGTTACTGTGCCAATATGGCAACAGCACTTATGCATGTGGACCCAGTGACCAGGGAAAACCAAGTGCTTTGTAACCTAAAGGAGTAGGTGCAATACAAATACCAAATAACAAATAAATAACAAAAATAGAATCATTATAACTTATCCTTTTATGATTTTGACAATAAACAATTAGGGAAGAGAGTCATCGCGTGAGTTTCTGTCAACTGTACATCCCTACTTATTCCCCAACTTACCCCATTTTTCTACTAAGCACTCTCTAGCTGTCTAAGACACTCTGCTTATAGATGACTGAGATACTTATACTTGAATGATTTTGCTGGTAAGCCTACCATCTGATAGCAGTGATCAAAATATAATTACTCTGATTTTGATATGTATAGGTTGATTAAGGAAGCTTACCTTGAAATGGCTGAGGTGTACATGAAGGGAAGCACTGTCTTAAATGCAGTTCAAGACCCTGATGATGTCTCCACCACCTCATCGGTTGTCTCTGCAAAGGAAACTAAGGTACTTGTTTGCTCGTATATGCACAGGGATCCCAGTCTTCCGCCAGTGGCAGGAGTCTCTTAGAAATCTCCCATAAATCTTCCACTATTCAGAATGGCTACATATCTTTAATACAGTGCTTGTCTGGCCATGAGGCTTATCACAGGAGGCAAGACACAATAAAGTTGTGTCAAAGTAAGCTCATTAAACCAAATCGTCCAGAAGTACTGTAGCTTTTGTCAACTTGAGACTTCTGATATATACATACTGTAACATCTGTTTTCTGTCATTCCCATTAAGAATAGTAACTATTTAAAAAATATTTTCTGTCCATCTCTAACCAATAGCAAAAATGCCATTTGCAAAACCTACTGAGATATGCTTTACAAACAAGGCATCACAGTTTCTGGTTTTTTATTTCAGCCTTCTGCATCAACTCAAAAATCCAGTCGTAAGAGCGGTTCAAAGGTAGTTCATCAAGTACTGCATTTGCAAAGAGAGAAAAAGAAAGAAATGCATGCAGCTTGGATGGCTGTACGTGCAGCAACGTCTTTAGCACAGGCTCAACGTCGACTTGCCTTGCTGATCGGTGACTCAACATTGACAACTATCCAGTATAAAGATACCATGAAGCAAGCTATACCTGACTTCTTGAAGGAGGACTTGATGGTGATTGAACAAGGTGGTTATCCATTTTTGGATTCCTTGTTTCCAGTATTTCCTAAGAAATTTTCATCGTTTTTTTTGGTTTTTTTTTCATAAGAGTACAAAATATGTATATTAGGGGAAGAGGGGATTGACAGTTTAAAGCATATGTACTTTTTTTTAGAAAGATAAAATAATGATCTTATACTGACAAAAATCATTTTATTGTGTAGTTTTTAAGGGGAAGGTGGGGGGACACAGACAAAGGTGTGTTTTTGTACTCTTGTAAAAATGATGACTGTTTCAACATACTGAAATTCTTGCCTGTAATTTGTCTGGAGACTGGACGTGGTCTTTGTGGTAATGCACATTTATTTTATCTGATTTCAGAAATTCATGGGAACTCCTTGGATTCAAAGAATGTGTTAGACACTTTAGAAGAAGCAAGTCAGGACAATGATGACTTTAGATACCCAACAAAAGAGCTACAACTTACCTGGATACATCTTGTCACATACACATCCATCCTGCAGCGGATGTGTAGCATGTCGGCCATAGGCATCAAGGACATATTACCAGACGACACAAACACAAGCGACATTGGGACAAGCAGGAATGTAGTTAGACTACCATTGTTAGCTGATGCCGCTGCACTAAGACTCCAGCGCATGCACAACTTCCTGACTAATCACCTCCAGGTTTATGCATCTGAATGCAGTGCCATCTATCCTCCATCTCAACTGCATCTGGCTCCGATTGAACCTGCCATACAGCCTGCTATTCCAATCAGAAACATCTTGCAAAATGAGACAACACCGGTGATCAAAGAACCACCAAAGTTTAATGACAAGATTCCAGCTCTGACATCCGATAAACAACTTTGCATTCAGTGGTACAGAAGCGTGTTCAGCTCCTGCTTAGACAGCACGGGAGATATCCTCCTCCTTTACGCTATCACGACAAAACAGCCAAAGAGTTCTAAAATTACCAAGCAGGGCTGCGGTAAACGTGTTTTACCTTACGCAAAAGTTAAAATCCTACACAATCAACTAGTTGAACTGAAGCAGAAGGCTGAGATGTCTCTGGCAGACAAACCAAAAGCTGCCGATAAACCGATCACCCCTCCAACTCAAGGAAAACCATCAAGTCGTAAATCGAAAAGAACTGCACGCATCACCCAGTTGTCTGCTAAAGTTAAACGGGATGAAAATTTGGAAGTAAGTATATCTTTTCTTCTTGATTAAAAAATGTGTTGATTGTCAATAAGAGTGCTGATGATTTTAGAACTTCTGTAAATAAATTTGCTGTAAGCGTATTGCAATTGGCAATATAGCCAATTTGATGACATATGCAAATTACTGTGTATGAACGTAAATAGTTAACGATGATTTTCAATAAACTGCTTTTTCCATCAAATAGATCCAGAATGCAGCTTTAAACACATAATTCATCACCATTTTCACGAAGATACAAACCTCAATTTAGACAAAAACAATGTTTTGAAATGGACTACTTCACAAATCCGTAAATTTCACTACCAAGATCTCAAAATTTTGAATATTATTTAATTTTATTTATTATTTGAATATTATTAAAGATAAATCATTAAAGAATTCAAATGTTCAATTTATTTTTCTTTTCTTAACTTTAATTAACCTGTTCATTAGCATGAAAACGATAAGAATTTAGTAAGCATAGGTTGTTTACATGTACAGCAAACTTTGTGTCTCTTCGTGAAAACGAAAATTTTTACCATTGTAGTCAATGGTGATCAAAGGAATACAAACAAGTTTATTCTGCTAAAACCAATATGTTTTTACTAATAATTCCACATTTGATGCATGTGTATATGCCTATTCCATGTTATACTGCAAGGAGGGTACCGCTATGCCTCTAGCCCTACCCCAGCCAGGCCTCTTACCCGATCACAACAATAGCAACGCCGCATGCATGTCTTCTAATAACCCACTGAAAGTTTGTGTCTCTTTGTGAAAAAGAAAAATCCATTTTTCTCGGTTTGTGCACGATGGCTAATTAGCCTATTTAGTTAGTGTAGTTGCACTCTTCACAGTTAGGTGAAAAGATAAAGTTCAATCGACATAATCACAATGTCAAAGTAAAAAAAAATATGATTTTTTGAAGTTTGTGGTGTCAGTGACAAATTATAATGCTGTTATAAGTATTAGACTTCTCTTTTTATTGTTTGATATATATCTTTTGATTTATATGCAGGCTCTATTAAAGCAGTGTATGGCAAGTGTGCAAAATCTCTTCACAAATGTCAATATCCAATATTCTGAATTAGAGGTAAGACTTTATATTATTGTTGTATAATAGTTACAAAAAGTTAAAATAAGAATCTGAACATAAAAATCCTGAAAATCAGGCTTAAAGCTTACTATGTGTGTATAATTATAGGCAGCAATTTGATTCCATGGTATGTGAATATCATTATCAATCTACTTAAGATACTAAAAGTCTGTTCCCTTGGCTGTGGTACTCAGGCTAATTACAGTTGTCAATAAAATGTCGTCTTCTGTAATTGCCAACATTGTTATCTCCTTAACAGATCCAATTACTCATTAACTAAATATTTGCTAAATTAAATTTATTATCAATAATTTCTGACTCATTATTTTATTACAGATTCCATTTGAAGTGACACTGAGCACCATCAGGAGTTTGGAGATGATGTTTGATCCATTATATGGCAGTGATCTGACACAGCCACAACTGATTGACTGGGTTCTTCCATTGTTTGAAACATCCATTCCAGAGTTACCACAATGAATCCTTCTGTATGTCACTCAGTGATCTAACTGAACTGATTGACTGTGTTCAATTGTTAAAATATAATGAGATATCAGAGCTGTTACAATAGTTCATTATGCATGACAGTGTCTCAACTTGTTATTTAAAGAGTTCTTCCACTGTTTGACACATTCTTACCAGAACCAGAGAAATCACATTAATTTATTCTGTATGGCAGTAATCTTGCATGACCTCGACTGATTGACTTGCTTCTTTTCTTGACATATATACCAGAACTATCACAATAATTCCTTCTGAATGGCATTGATGTCACATATCCTCAACTGACTTATTGACTGGTCTTGTTTGTCTTTACAATGATTACATTTGTATGTCATTGACTGTGTTCTGTTGTTTTAAATAGTTGTACATATTTACCATGTTAATATATTCTGTATGACAGTTATTTTATTAGACCTCAATGTAAAGTAGGTTCTTTCACTGTTTGTAACATTTATCAGAGCTCACAATATTTCATTCTGTATGGCAATGAACACACATTAACCTCAACTGATTGACTGGGTTATTCCTTTTTTTTTAACCAATCTTATGAGAGCTCTCACAATAGTTTCTACTACAGGCTACCATTGGGCTTATTCGATTGTTTTATTTCATTGGGTACGAATTTTTGTTGAGTATTATTTTCATTCAAGTGGTTCGTAAATAGACTTCGTTGACAGTGAAAATTAACGTCACCAGAATGTGTTAATCAGCGCAAGTTATCCATGTGACCAACAAAATATGGCTGATTGGTCAGTTTAGAAACACCATTTGCGTTAATATAATTTAGATTAAATTTCAGAAAATAGAAATAGTAGTTAGATGGAACCGCATGTTTGGTGATGCAAGTTGTATTGTTGTTTGCAGTTACATTATTAAATTAAATTTTGTATGAAGTAACCTCTATTAAGGCGACATCGATGTTACTGTTTTTGTCTATCCTCTTGCACTGTTGCAGTAATCTGTTAATTTAAGGGCTATAATACTGTGGGGATTTTCAAGAAAGGTAAATGCTGTGGGTTAGTTTAAGACGTAATATATCCCAAGAGGGATTATTATTGTGAAGTCACTAACAATAACATAAAACATCAGTTTCAGTAGGCCTTCAATTAAAAAAGCTCCATCCCCACCTTTGCACGCTGATATGTGGCAGCGCTGGCTCCAGAAATTTGCCGACAAGGGGTCTGACGCGGGGTCTGAACCAAGGGGCCGGCTAGAGCCTGGTCCGAATTCCGCAATAAAAATCCCTGGTAGGGCTTATGGCTTAGTATGGTCCCAATTGTGCACATAGGGATTGGCAATCTAAATAACGTTATTTCGGTAGGCAAATAATATTTTTTAAATTTTTGATCTGACGACCTCGTTGTGGCGTCAGATGACGGCACGGTCCAGGCCTGTTCAACAGGAGGGCAAGAGCCCTCCCTGCCCCACGCAGATTCCAGACCTAAGGATAGACAACAGTGGTATATTGCACGTAATATTATTAATATTATATAAAAGCTACAGAAGTCAATAGACTACCGAGTATCTAAGTTAAAAACGTCACAGAAAGACTTAATGTGACATACCTAGTTCACCATTCAATCTTAATGACAGACTGCAAGGAAAATTTAAGGGTAAGGGTGAATTTAATTGGTGCTGCTGGGGGTTCAACAGGTGGTAGGTCGTTTCGACCACTGCCAGTTCGTTTGATGTTTTTAATTCACAATAAACTTTATTCCACCAATTACCTTAATCGTATTTTTTTACAATTTTCATTTTTGTAAATTGAACGAAAATAAATCAATTCAAGTAAGCTTTAAGTTTTGATGCCCTTACAAAAAAAAAAAAACCAAATCGCCGACAGGTGTTTCATCGAAACTTCTTTTTTGTCAATGCATTTTTGCATGTGAGCAGATGTAATTGATTTTTTTGGAAGTAAAATCATCTCACTTCCGATATCATTACATTTAATCCCTACTGTTCCGGACTGCTCAATCAAGCATAAGAAATATGTATCATTTGCCTATTATTAAAAGTAGCTCCACTTGACCGATTTGAAATATATTTAAAATTGAGATTACATTTCTCCTTCTGTTCAGTACATTACATATATTGTGAAAGTTTTACTGTAAAGGCCTGTTTATACTTACAACGATAACGATAAAAAAGCTAAAAAGCGATTGTTCATATAGAAAACAAAAGAAATAAGAGAAGTTTTTACACTAGGACGATTCGATAAAGATTTATCGTGTATACGATAACAAAATATTTTAACAAATCAAATCAGATGACGTCATAACCATGGAAAAACGATAAAATCGTTGCTACTACTACGAGTTTAATGTTTTTCCATGATTATGACGTCATCTGATTTGATTCGTCAAAATATGTTATCGCACAACTGATAAATCGTTATCGAATCGTTCTACTGTAAAAACTTCTCTTACTTCTTTTATTTTCTATATGAACAATTGCTTTTTAGCTTTTTTATCGTTATCGTTGAAGTATAAACAGGCCTTAAATCCTCGAATAAGCGCCGCCCGTTCAGAAAAAAATAAGTTTTGAATTAAATTATGCAACGAAAGTGCCCTTTCTTCCTGTCAGAATAGTGTCACGCATCGAGTTTTAGGTTCAATATACCGAACCTGAATAAAATGAAAACTCGGTGGCATATCTAGGAGAATTGAAGTAGGGGTACTGTTGGTTGTGGGGGTCGGGAAACGTGAAGTCTGGATGATTACATAATACATATTGGTGAATCAATCATCTTAATATTGAATAGAGAATTAGGCCTATTTGTTGCAACGTGTCTATGAATAAATTTAAACTGAAAATTCTTTAATCCTGTGTCTAAAGTGCGCTTTGCTGTCTCTTATACACATCTAGATGTGTATAAGAGACAGGTTTTAAATAGNCAAGGGTGAAGGTGGGGGGGGGGCTCGATGATCAGCTGAGGGGCGCTAATTCGCAAAATAATGTGATTTTAGGTGATTTTTAACTACTTGACCGTGGTTTTTTGGGGGGAGACTGGGGTGGGGTACGCGAGTAATTTTTGGAGGGGCGTTGTGCACTCACCCCCTAGATACGCCACTGTTTGTTGGACACACAAAAATCGCTTCCCAGTTCAATGGCTCTCCAGATTCTGTTTCCGGAATTTAAACATATTTCTTAATTAAACTGGGATATAATTATTCTTTTATTATGATTTTTCATTGATGGAAATTTGTGTTAGTTGTTTGTTTATGTGTTTGAAATTGCCAAGTTCATTCACTACATTTGTTTCAGTGTTAAAATAGCGAATAGCGCTTACAATGTCGTTGTACTTAAGGAAATTTGTTTGTATATTAAATTTTTGTTGAAATTGATTAAATGTAAGAAAGTTACCACCTGCTGTCAAATCATAAATGTATTTAACCCCCGCGCTTTCCACCAACTAAAATAAAATATAGATTTGCCATCAATCTGTATAAAACTATTAGGCCTATTCCATAATGTTTCCGACACGTGCACTCTACCTTCGTTTCCGGCTGTTAAAAATTGAATTTTGACCAGGCCACTATCACATCTCTATAGAAACTATGGGACATTATTTGTGGGAATATAATTGAATTAACGTCAAAATTAAATTCAAATAAATACATTTTGCCGTATTTGCTAATTTCGTGGTCAAAGAATAATTTCCATTTTGCATTATTATTTTTGTGCAAGTAACGTTTAACCCATGCGACTTTAAGGGCCTCTGTAAAACTTTCGATGTGCGGCATGATCAGGCCACCACATTCGTAATTGTTGTACATTATTTATTGTTTTGATAGCATATCGCCTGTCATTCCAAGTAAATTTGAAGAACATACGGTATTTTGCACTTTCTTTAAAAAAAGAAAATGGCGGGTTTGGCAAAATGGAAAGGCGGTAAATTAATTTTGGAATGAAAATACTTTTTATCCTTGTAATGTTTGCATATAAAGTAGGCCCTAAGAGCTCGACTCTTCCATGCACATAGACAGTTCCATGTCAGTGGACAGCCCTGTCTTACCCACGCGAAAGATGAACAAATTTTTGGTAGTATTTCCGTTATTTATAATTGTATTTTGAATATCATTTTACATTACCTCATTTCTTTGGTAAACTTATCCCCAAATTCAAAGGTCACCAGTGCTTTTTGAATAAAGCACCGTTCAACTTTATCAAATACTTTTTCGTAATCAAGGAAAAGTAATAGTCCGGGAATATCTTCATCTTCAGTATATTTAATAACATCAAAAATTAAGCGAATGTATTCGCCTGTAAAGCGACCTTTAAGAAAACATGTCTGATTTGAATTAATTATCGAAGATAACACTCTTTTTAATTTGTTAGCTACACTCTTGGCAATAATTTTATAGTCCGTATTTAGTAATGTAATTGGTCGCTAGTTCTTTAAATATAAACAGATTTATCTTTCTTAGGAATAAGTGTAAACATTCCTCTTTTCTGTGAAATCGATAAATTCTGTGTGCAAAAAGAGAACTTAAAGGCGTGTACTAGATAATCTTTCCCAGAACTTTTATAAAAAATCTGCGGAGAGACCGTCTGTAGGCCTGCCAGACGTTTAACCGTAGTTGTCCCTACACAATCGGGAAATCTCCCCGATTCCACCGACCAGTCAGTAGCAGTGAAAGCTGTCAGCGATGAAAGCCAACTTTTATTCTGTATCATATTTGTTATCGAGCATACGAACTTATTAATTTCGTGAGAAATCGGCTGATAGATTAAAATCACGGCAATAATATATTGTCTGCATTTAGATAGAACATCTATTGAATTTCAAAAATATTTTTTCATGATTTTTTTAAGGATTTATATATTTCATCATCAACAACATTATTTTCATCATCATCATCATAATCATTTGGGTGCTAGCTTGAATTTTTTTTAATTTTTTTTTATTTATTGATTTTTTTCGTTGTCTTGCTCGTTTATTTGCGCTGTATAAAATCAATCTATTATTATTATCATCATAATCATATTAATTATCATAATCATCAGCATTATCATCATCGTCATCATGATTATCGATAATTTTATGGAATTACACGAGACGAAATGATATGTTTTATTCGTCTATTAAAGGAAATTCACTGTTAGGCTGTTATACTACTATGACTGCTGCCATTATTACAGTATTATTAAAAGCTCTGTTTTAGATATCCCGTAGAAGTCGATTACTTAGAATTATTTAATAAACACAGCAAATATATTATATGCAGAAAACATTTGCAAAAATATATTTTCAAAGCGAGTGGCGGGTTTACGAATTCGAAATAGAGGCCAAAAGAGAGGGAGTTCTAGGCCTACAGGGTCTAGACCACCTCAGCCAATCCCCTACCCCGCCCACACCATAATCATATAATATTCCGTCTATTAAAAATGCATAAAATAGGCTAACTCAACATAGGCATTACCGGTACTGTATTAAACTAAATTAAACTATAAAAACGGGATCAATTAATTAACGAATTACGTATTGAAAACAAGCAGGAATTTTCACAAGATAGGTGGTACCAAACTGCAAGGGAGACTTTGAATGAATTTGAATAATTGTGTGAATGTTTCTTTTACTGCTATTGAGGTATTTTAGATTAAGCTTCTGATTTTAAATATTAAACACAGGTGTAAAACATGCTGCTGTTTTGTTTTGTTTTGTTTCGTTTATTTTTGTAAGGCCCTCAGTGTAAGCAGCTGAGGAGGATGTGAAAAGATATAATAGTGGGTAAGTGGGTGGATTAAGCAAATGCTACGTTTTGGTAATTAAAATGCATGAATTACAGTAAATCAATGTAGGGACAGGTATTATAATAATTGATGTGCTATTCTGAATTTAAAACGCGATTCTTGGTTTACCGTGACAAAGGAACACGATTTTTGTATCTCAAACATATCGTTGTGACTTAGATATTTTCGATTTGAAGATGTATGATTTACTTCACTGCACCATTATGGTATCAATTTTCCATTCTCCTGCAACTATAGTCGCTTATGTTTCTCGTATTTTCTTGATATTGCAGGTCTTGTAACAAGTGGAAGTAATTTAAAATGGCGTTCATGAGCACACTTTAAAGAATCAGCAGTGGAAAGGTGAGGGTTAGCGCCAAGCGTCAGTCACAGTAAGTTCTAATATGTGTTGACACCAAGAAGGAATACCATGGGGGTATAAAAAATACCTCCATAGTAATATATGCTATATAGTGCCTTTTTGCTTAACATGTCCATTTCTACTAACACACATGGTGTATAGGCTTTTCTTTTTCAGAGCAACGAAGCTAATAGTTTAGACTAATATCGATCCAGATAGTTTAATATCCTTCTTATAGTTGATATTTATACAATGTTAATATTGTACACTGTATAGAAATATCAGCTATAATTTATATTGTTAATACAGTGTTTAATGATTAATTCAAATGATAATAAATGAACTTGGGAATTCTCTGTTAGGCCACTGTCAGGGGCGGCTCCAGAATTTTTCAAATGTGCACTGTCAGGGGCGGATTCAGAATTTTTCAAATGTGTGGGGAAGGGGGACACATTTTCAGAATAGATGAGGCGTGCCACTGAACCATGCTTTGTTTATGCTATTGAAGCTATATTTGATAGTTGCTACTTTTAACCTTAATATCAATAACAAGTCAATAGTAAGGTAGATGTAGTTTATAGTACTAGGCCCCCGACTAGACCTACTGAGTTTTACCAATGGCGTATTTTGAAGTCTTGAAATGGGGGTGCTGATGGTGGGCGCAAAGGTAAAGTGGGTGGGTGGGGGTCGATGATCAGTTGAGGGGCTCTAATTTTCAAAAATAATGTGATTTTAGTTGATTTTCAACTACTTGACTGTAATTTTTTTTGGGGGGGGGGGCGCGCGAGTAATTTTTGGAGGGGCGTGTTAATAAGCTTGGCAAGCTACGGAATAAAGTTACTGAAAGTTGCTGGCATAGGGCCTACCTACATTTTGCCGAAGCACCCCTTATTCACGCAATTGACTTGCCAAAAGTCAGTAATATAGTAAAATACTTAGACCTCATGGCCTAGATTTTTAATAAAAACTCTGCATCTCGTTCATTTTAATCATACTTAATTAAATTCGTACTTATCTTAAGGGCACCAATGATATGTCTTATCTTGGATTTTATTCATATTGTACAAACTTGCTTCTCCTTCGGGAGGTTTATAGAAATAACTAAATAAAAAAATAAATTATTTCGTAAATATTATTATATTCTAATGAATGTAGGCTCAATTAAATAGAAATGCGCTGTGTAATTAAAAGTATTAATAAAGTAGTACATTGGGCCCTTGTCTGGAACACCATTCTATCGGGATCATCCGTCAGGCAATAACGCCACCACTTCAAAGAATAACTGTTACGTTATAGGCTTATTGTTTGGAGTTTCTCAGTACTGTACACGTTATTTGACTTATATGCACATAATCAGCACATCGATGAAATTTAATAATGATATCATAGGTTTTATTTAATTCCTGTTATTTTATTAATATTGTAATATTTTTATTTTATTGTTATTGTTACTATTTTTATTGCTATTCAACAGGATTATTATTGCTATTTTTTTTTATTGTTATTATAGTTATTTATTATTATGGTTACTTTACACCAGAAATTACGTAAATTTCGTTAATTAAAAATATGATTATATTACTATTATTTATTATTATTTTACTTCATAAATTTTTCGACGTTTACGCATTATTATCCTCTTTAAGACCAAGGATGTGAAGGGTATTGCAACAGCACGCCCGTGTGTGTGTGTCCTTTCGGCGCATAATTCAATAATTGTGTGAAGGACTTAGACTGACGGATGTGAAATGGAAGCTGATTCCAGATCAATGGTGCTTGTGCAAAGAAACCTTTTGGATCCGATTTTAGGTGGGTTTTTGGAATGGATAACTTTAATGGTCCATTTCGGAACAAAGTCCTGGACGAGACAGAACATGAGTTGATATAAATTAATGTAGGAGCAGAGCCATGAATACATTTATAGATTATGGTTGCTATTTTGTAGATTATACGTTGTTGTATTTGAAGTCAGTGAATTTGAGTAAAAAGAGGCGATACATCACATTTTCTCAAATTATGAACTAGCTTTAGCCGCACGTATTGACTTTATTAGTGATTAATGTGGTCACTTTTTATGCACTATTCCAGTATATTTAGTGAACATAAGTGTTTGTATTAATATTCAGTTTAAATATTTGTTGACATGTGATCGTGAATACATTTCATTGCAAGCAATCTTCACTTATCACTTTTTTTTTACCTCCTCACAAGCCACGCTCATGCGTCAATCCACAATTATCATTGCAATTATTAAAGTTTCAGACCTGGCTGGTTAGAATTGAGCCATAAAGATGGCCAATGAATATAATATATATATAAAAAAAAAAACAATACAAAAATAATTAAATGCAATGTAATTGAAATTTTTGCTTATATAAATGACTTAAATAGTGAAATGGTAAGATCAACGAATAACAACGATTTATTAAAGAAAGGTCTGAAAACACCGACTGTAAATATATTGTTATTTTATTGAAGTGGACAAAGAACATAATGCGCACTATAGTACTGTATCATCAATTAATTAATTTTGTATTGCTATATTATTTCAAATTCTATTATTAGGCCAGGGGTGGCCATAAAAATGGGTCGGAGGCACACCTAACTTTGACCTTTCCAAACAAACCTTTATACAGTATTTAGAGTTTTAGTGACTGCTTTTTATATATGATTGGTGTCTGGCCATAAAAACATGATTGAAACACCCACCTGGGAGGCTAATGACAGAGACTGAAGTCAGAATAGATGCATTAATATGGGGTGTAGGCATTTATAATTGTATTATTTTCCCTTGTTAAGTGCAGATAAGGTATAGGTTTTAGCATAGCATGTTTGGCACCATTATCCAGTTTAAAATATATATTATTGTCTAATACTGTACATTAAAATATAACATTTTGCATGCATATAACATGTATGATCTGCATAATTTATCACCGGTTTCACGAAGAGACACAAACTTCAATTTCAACCAAAACTACATTTTGTGAAAGACTAATTTAAATGGACTACTTCACAAAACCGTAAATTTCACTATCAAGATATCAACATTTTAAATATTTTTTTTTCACCCCAGCCAAGCCTTATCTAGCCGATCTCAACAATTGCAACGCCGCATATGCGTTGTCTGATAACCCTTTGAAAGTTTGTGGCTGTTCGTGAAAACGAAAAATTAATTTTTCTCAGTTTGTGCTCAATGGCTAATTAGTATAAAAATATAGTTACACTAGTATTAAATTGTAATTAAATCAAAACCTGGAACTTACTATGATTAACATTGAGTGACATTACATCAAGCTCTGAACTTCTTCAGACAACTGACCCGTCGGATTGGTCATGAGTCAGGTGGCGAGGAATGCTGCGCAGCTGGTCCCTCGCCACCTGATTTGTGACCAATCCTTCGGGTTAGCTGTCTGAAGAAGTTCAGCTGGGCTGGACGAAACGTCACTCAACGTTAATAAATAGCAGATAAGTTCCAGTTTTTGATTTCATTACAATTTAATACTAAACACTTACTGGATGAATGAAAACACTTAAAAGTGTAGTTACACTCTTAACAACTATATGAAGTTTGTGCCTCTTCGGGGTGTCAGTGACGAATTGTCCAATAGATTATAGCAGTCTTCAGCTTTTGCAGTTCTACTTTTACAAATTCAGACTACAGTATTATAATTCGGTACCCACAGATTCTGGAGACGACAGACCGATGACTTCAGAACTCTTAACTGTTACATGCTTACTGCATGTCCTCGCTTTCTTGTACTTCAAACCAACTGTTGGTACTATTATTACAAAACATCCAAGGATATAGAAAGATCCCATGATGAAGAAGGCAGTGTTGTAAGATCCAGATAAGTCATATATCCACCCTAGAAATGAAATAAATTGAACACAACATAAGCAGGTACAGTGTACACAATATACATGTTACAAATTTATTTAACAATTCATCAATCATTAATTTTTTAAATAATTTTATTGCAATTTCTATTAGTATTAAAAAAATAAATTGGTCAGTCCTTTGAATAAAGTTTACTGGTTCCCCATGGATCCAAGTATATGCAATACTTCAAGTATCAATTGTACAATAGTATACTATTTGTAAAAAATTATAATAATCTGCAGGTTAAACCTACTGTAACCTGAGAGCAATTTTAACAAACAAAAAATTTTTAAAATAGCAACTTTTGAATGACAAAATTGAACTGCCCACTTGTTCATCAAGCACTTATTCAGAATCTATTTTAAAACTGAGATTACATTTGTAATTCATGGCGAGTAGGATGTCCGAGCAATTATGGTAAGGCAGGGGTGCTGCAATGTACTGTACAGCTATAATATCGATGCTGGTTCGAACAGCATGCTCGCCTACTAGGCCCAGTACTTTTGAGACAAGTCAGGGGTTACCCCGGTGTACTGGTTCTTTCAGTAACTGCTGTGGACAGACGAGAGTAGCTCAGACACAAAGGGACCCTAGGGGAGAAGCAAGTTACTGTAAGAGCCAATCCACACCATTGCGGTGGAAAGCGCTACATAAATCTAACTATATTACATTACAATTACAATTTTTACAATACTTTATACCTTCAATAAATGGTATTTGAATTTCTTAAAGATCACATTAAATAAAGAAAACTAAGCATGAACTTAAAAGGAGTGCAATTTCCCGCAATCTTCAGTAAAGAACTTTACACTGGAAAATCACCTAACAACTTTATTTGGAGTAACACATCTTTGTATTATGTTACATATTCCTGAAATGAATTAATTTGCTGAAATGTACATTTTTATCAAATAATCAGTAAAAACTTCTTCACAACTGTTACAATGTAAAGAGGTTTTCCCCTGAACATTATTAAGTATACAAAAGTACCAAATACAGTAATAACCTTACTTTCTTGCCCTCCCACAAAGTAGATTTTAATGTATTTTTCTGTTTTAATGTATCATATTTTTTTGTATTTGTATTTAATGTAATCTCTGTATATTACTGTATTATGATAATATACATTCCTTATGTAACTCCTTTTTTTTTAATGCACTGCAAATCCGCGAGTGCCACTGATACAAAAATGTACATTCAATAATGGCTATGCCTACCAAAAAAACATTGTGGAGTGATAAACTTAAATGTAAATCAAATTATGCTGAAGCATACCTGTGATGAAACCTGCAACAACGTTTATGAATGCTGTGGTGAATAGCAACATACCAAGAGCATTTGGAAAGTTCTGAATGCCGACAATTTCTCTTGTCAAAATATAAAGGAGTGGTATACAGGCGCCCGTTGATAGTCCAATAAAAAACGTAACAGAAACCATACTCTGATAGGTTCTGCAAAATGGTAACAAAAAGGTGGATAAACCAGCTACTATCAGTGTAATTAAAAAGGTGTTTTTTGTCTTGATTAGCTTTAATTTATTGGGAACTCCATTGAAAATGCGACCGATGATACTTCCAATGCCGTAGAAAGTCATTAAAAGTGTAGCCTTCGTTTCAGGGACTCCTCTTGTGTTGGCGCTGGCAACAAGATGGTAGAGTGTCCCAACAAACGCTATACTAATCAGGTTTGTAACAATTATAAGATAACCAAAGAGGGGATAAGTGACTGGTAGCTGCAAATACTCTTTTAATAACTGAACCTTTGTCTTTTTTGGTTGAGCATCCGCATTCTCATTATCTTCAACATCTTCACTATGTAATTCCATACTATCCTTATCTAAATTTGCTTCAGAAAATTCACAGTTTATTTTACTGATTTTTGACTGTGATTCCTTTCTGGTGCTTCTGAAAAGGATTAGGCTAAGAACTGTGGCGTGAAGCCCAACAGCACCAAGGAGTAGCAGAGAAGATCTCCAGCCATACAGCCCTCTCAGTACATTGATTAAAAGAGGTATAGTTATCCATCCCACAGCAGTCCCCGCCAGAGTAACACCGTTAACTATCGAGATGTGCTTATCACAGATTGTTATTCCAATATACGCAACAATGTTTGTATATGCTAAAGCTACACCGATTCCTGAAAAATAAAAAGATACTGTAGTTTAACACATGAAAACATTTTACTGTAATCACAGAAGTTGTTTGTTTTTGATGGCGTACTGTAAGCTGTTGAGATAAAAAAAAAAATTATTCACAAATTAAATTAGAAAGACATGTTGTTATTTTGGACAATAACATGTTTCCATTTTGTCAAGGTCAAGATAAAATTGGGATTTTTGTAGCCCTAATCCAATTTTTAAGGTCACTTTTTCTTGGAAAACATTAACCATTGATTTTTGAGTCATTTACAGTATGAATATTAAATATGCCTGTACCTGTAAATAAAGAATGACTCAAAAATAATTGCCATGTTTCCCGTACTTGGGATGACAACATTAGGCCAACAGCGCTCATTAGTGAACCAATCATGATGGTAATTCGATATCCAGTTTTAGTCGCAATGTATGCACCAAAAGGACCTGAAAAAAAGGAAAAATATATTAAACTTTTAGTGCAATAAATAATAATAATAGTGCAACATCACAACTAATAGTAAAATATTAGAAATTTACAAAAATATAAATGAAAAATATAGTAATACTGTAATAGTAGTAATACAAAATAGCAATACTCTAAATGACCCTAGCACAGATGCACATATTTGTGGAAACTTAAATTCAGGTCTCATTTGAGAAGTGCTTCAATTTCAAAGAAATTACTAAATATTTGAGAGTGCGTTGTACTGTACATTGATAGGCCTGTTTAATTTTATATAATATTAATAATAGTAGTAGTAATTTACTATAAAAATAATCATATATAACAGGTAATAACAATGACAATAATATTAATGACATTGACATTCCCGGACCTCAAATGGATGTGTTGTGAACCTTCTCTCTGGAATCTTGAACCCAGTTTCATATGGAAATCTGTGGTCGCACTTCAATTATAGTTGCATTGAAGGAGGGGACCATAATAATATATAGAGTACAACATTTGTGTCATCACAACAAGTAGGCCTAGTTGTGCCCTTTGTTGTCAACCAGACGTTGGCTACCGTTCATTACGCCTGAATCACTTCATAATCTTATTGGTTAAGAATAGGCTTTCTGAAATCAAGGGCGGATTTAGGGGACCCCCCCCCCCCCTTGGAAGGTTAAAAAAAAGAAAAGAAAAAAGAAAAAAAAAGGAAAAAGAAAAAAATTATAGCCCAGAACACCTCAAATGTTATTTTCGGGTGTCTAGAACACAAAAATTTTGAGGGGCATTCCCCCGGACCCCCTAGGATAGTGTTGTCTCAATCGGCCCAACATTCACTCCCCACTTCCCTTTTGGACATTTCTGGATCAGCCCCTGGAATAGGCTTTTTAAAACTCAAAGCCTATCTCCCACTTGCACCTCCCAAAATACTTGATATGTCGAGGCTTGGCGCCAGGATTTGCCAGACGGTGATTCAATTTCCCCCGATGGTGGGGAAGATGTCCGCGATAGTGTATAGGCCTATTATAGGCAACTGGTTCATGGGGTGAATCACCCGGAAATTGACAATTTAGGCTAGAGCTTTCAAAGCTTATAATGGCCTACACGCCCAGGTAGGTTAGGCCTAGGCCAACATTAATCGCTTTTATTTTCTCCCGGGCTTATTAACCCCCCCCCCTTCGTCCCCGTTGTTTGGCACCACAACAGGGTAGATACGCCCTGGTGCCACCTATCGTCGACGGAGCCAATTGTCCAATATTCCCCACCGTCATGATAACATAGACCTCCTACTCAGTACTGAATAAGTCAGCACCTAGCCTATACATGATGGGATCACACTAAACACTACTATCTACTAGACCTAGGCTAGGCCTACTGGGTTGGGTTCCCCATACTCAGCAGCAGCAATAGCAGCTTCTACCTGCCTCTACCAACATACCAAAAATATGCGCAACACAAATGAGTGAACTGGAAGCTGCTCCTGTCACTCCTAAACCCACATTGAGTTCGTCTGAAAAATCCGTGAGAAATATTCCGAAGGATAAAGTTGCTCCATCAGTTAGCACCATAATAATATGCGCACCAATAACCAACGTGATAGTTCTGATCAACGATAACGATTCATTCTCTCTGGTATCAGCCATTATAAATGTCGGCCTAGGCTAGCCTGCCTCATCACCACACCACAGGATCCGACGAATTACCCAAATGATCAGTAGGGAATTACGCAAATGATACACAATTTTACCCAAATGAACACCCAAATGATACGGAATTACCCAAATGTAATTAACGTTGGAACATTTCGTATTTTTTTAACATAGGCCTACAGTATTTTAGGCCAATTAGTCAAAATTATTCGTAATGGTTTTTATAACTTGTCCAATCATTCGCCGTGGCTACTGAGACGGTTCCGTATTTCTACTTCAATTGCTAAAAGGTAAATGGAATTCACCATAATCATCATTAATGATGATGATGATGATAGTTAGGCCTACGTATACTTTCTTCATGATTCCTCAGTCTACTGTTGAACGTACCCCTCCTCTAATCTCTTCCACCTCGACCCTGTCTGATGTTTCTTTAAACCAATATTTCCTGTATTTTTTAAAGTCATTTCTGCACCTCTGTTTCTGTCTTCCTCTTCTTTTACTTTCTCTGGGTACTAGCCATCCATTCGTCTCTTGTCCATCTGTTACGTATGGTTCTGATCACATGACCTGCCCATCTCTATTTCTTTTTTGCCACCTCTGACATGACATTATTTACACCTGTTCTCCTTCTAATTATTGCTGCCAGCATGGTGCTGAGCCTATTCTATCTAGAATCCTTATGTGTGACATGCGCGTCTCTTCATGTCTCGTTGTGTGATTTTCTTATTTAACGAACTTCAGTTGAACTTAGAACTAGAACTTCGTTCTTGCAACTCCAACTTCAATTCACAAACAACTTATTAATTCCTAGCCTTTTGGTCTTGTATAGCAATTAATCTTCAAACAACAGGGGGCTCGGACGTCCCCCCTCCCCCCACATTCAGTTCTGCTAGTACTAGACCAACACAAAACACAACTTAATTTGTTGTCACATTTTCATTATCTTTTATAAATCACTATATCGATTCTTCCAGCATTACTAAGTAATTGTAATGCTGGAAGAATCGATATATATAGCAAGTATAGTTTAATAGATATGTGTGCCTAGCCTGTAGTTTTTATATGCGACTAAAAGACGTTCTGCCAAAAGGAAGATGATGATGTAGGCCTATGATATGATCCTGTCTGTAGACTACTACATTTGATATATTAACAATATTGCATGATATAGCCTATTGCCGATTCTTCAATATCTGTATATCAAATCGATTCCGTTTTAATTCTCGAAAATTGTCCTTCGAAAGCAGCTCAAACACACCAGAAGAGCATTTTGAATCATATGTGGCGGTCGTTTTCAACATTTTTGAACCCTGGACTGGACACCAAGTTCCACTCAGATTTAAAAAGATCCCCCCCCCCCCCTTATTACCAAAGCATGGTTACGGGCCTGAACAATATCTTTAATTCATCAATAAACAATTAAACAAAAATAGTTATAAAAAAAAAATGAAAGAATAAAGCAGGACCTCTAAGAAACACTATGAGCTTGTGAATTTATTAGACCAAGCTTGTTTGTATAAGTCCACTTGGTGATAGTAATGCGCGGCACTGGGGGATGAATCAATATTTAACAACAACCAATCAATTATCTTTCTCATCTGCGTGCAATGATCCTATTTGTTAAATACAACTCACAAAGGGCATGCCAGTATTGACAATGTGTTGTGGTATGGGACACCGTCTTTAATCGGCTGAGAGCATCGATAACAGCAGTACTGAAATTAACCGGTTGTGATGCGGGGAAATAACGATGATTGCGTCCATCATAGTTGCCTCCCTCTTGATTAATATCTGACAAAAATTTTAACATGGCTGACATTTTGATAGAAGAGAATAAATCGCTGTCATTGATAAGAACCATCACGTTGGTTGCCGGTGCGCATATTGTTATGGCACTCACTGATGGAGCAACTTCATCCTTCGGAATATTCCTCACCGACTTCGCAGGCGAACTCAATGTAGGTCTAAGAGTGATAGGAGCAGCTTCCAGTTTACTTACCTCAGTTCTCCATCTTTTCAGTAAGTACTTTAACCATACATAGCAGGGGGTGATGGTGGCTGAGCTAGATACCCCAACAGATTTTAGTTCTAGCACGGAGTGCCGAAAGAATTTAAAAAAATCATGCTTACTGGAAGACTATGACCAGGGAGTTATAACAACTCCCTGCTATGACTATGTAATTTCAAACATCGCCCAACATACCCAAATGATTGTGAATTTCCAAAACACAGGCTCTACATTTTAAAAAAGACATGTAAGCCTTGGCCAATTTTTTTCAACATCTCATAAACACGATGAAATACACGAAACAGTCCTTCAAAATTCTAATTTGCGAGAAACTCTTGGTTGTAGGATTACTCAAAGGATATCTCGCGTCCCTGGAGAGCTGCCCGGGAGACTGAATGTAGAATAACTGACGAGTCAAATTGACGGGGGCAGAAATCCATCCGTTAACATAATATTACCGAGCGGAATTCATGTACCGTTTTTAGAATTTGAGAATTATTTATAAAAATATTTTGTCAAGGTCATTGCAAATTACTAAAATCAGGCCTACTCTTCAAACATAATTTTCACCACGACCGTGGTTCACAAGTGCTTTCGCTTGGTTCTTATTTTACACGTTCTACACATAAACAGATCCGGCCCGGACAATTTGATCCCATATGGCCCTGAAGAAATTGAATAACATATTCTAGCCCCTAAATGTCCGGGGCTTCACTTCATCTTTATACAGCATATTCTTAACTTAACAGTCTGTTCAATTTTTAGGTCCTGTCGGTGCTTATATTGCTACAAAACTTGGATATCGAAGAACCATAGTGATTGGTACATTAATGATTTCAGTTGGATTGATGTTATCATCGCAAGTACGAGAACCTTGGCAGCTGTTTTTTAGTCATTCTTTAGTAACAGGTAGCGTCAGACCATTCAGCATTTGAATATACACGTTCAACAATATAAATATATATATATAATATATATATATAGGCCCTATATATAATATGTATAATATAATATGTACCGGTATCTTCTGTGTTTAGCATCATATTTGGTAGTTATTACAGTAATAATTTCTATAATTGCTTTTTAAATTGTACTGTTCATATAGACTACGGTATACGTTTTTTTCTTAAATTCTTAACTTATATTGTTAAGAAAGTAGGACTATTTCAAAAACACGTTTTTATAGCGCATATTAGGTCTCTATGACAAATTTCCAATGGAAGTTGAGTAAAAGAAATACATAGGATGAAGGAGAGACAAAAGAAAACAAGAACAACAAAAGCCATCAAAACAGACAAACAATATACCTGTCTCTTATACACATCTAGATGTGTATAAGAGACAAGTATATATATATATATGTATGTGTTTATATATATAGGCCTATATATACAGGTATATATATATATATTGGCATTGACCCAAAATATTGTTTCTTTTTGTGCATATGAGAAGGAATAGCCTAGTTGTTCAACGGGTTTGCTGTATTTATCTAAACATATGTCATTTCAGTATTTATTTTTGTACTAAATGTTATCCATTGCTCTCGGTTGATTTCCCGTCAATTTATATTCAGGCGGTACTGGGGAGGGACAACTTGATTTCCTGCTCCACAACAAGTCATCCATTCGAAGGCTTTATGAAGAAAGCCTACCTAAAATGGTCTAGATTGGTACGAGACCAGCTAAGTCCGGTTTTTAATATAGGAAAATTGGTATCAAAATTATATTAAAATTGGTATCGAAAATTATATAACAATGATAATCGCCCATTATTATATTTTACGTGTTTGTAGTGAATCTTGGGCACCAATCATCAGAGATCAAGGTGCCGAGCCTATCACGTGTCATACATTCGACATTGAATTAACAAACTGAATATAAATGATCTTCTACTTTTTTAGGAATAGGGATGACTTTGATGTATACAAACGTTATTGCATTTGTAGGATTAGCCTGTGATAAGCACATCTCGATAGCTAACGGCGTTGTAGCAGCTGGGACGGCTGCGGGATGGATAACTATACCTCTTTTAATCAATGTACTGAGAGAGATTTATGGCTGGAGAGGTGCTCTGCTACTTCTTGGTGCTATTGTGTTTCATGCTACAGTTCTTAGCCTCGTCCTTTTTAGAAGCCCCAGTGCAAAATTAAAATTGGAAACTGGAAAATCTGAATATTCTAAAGAAATTTTAGACGATGGAAATTTTATGGAGTTACGTTGCGATGAAGTTGAAGACACAAAGGAAAATTCACAAGAAATCAAGTCAAACGCTGCATTACTGATGGTGTATTTACAGCTACCACTCACGTATCCGCTGTTTGGTTTTCTGATAATTGTTGCAAACCTGATGTTCCTAGGATATGCTGGAACACTCTTTCACCTTGTTGCCAGTGCAATCAAAAGAGGAATACCTGAAACAAAAGCTATGCTTTTGATGACTGTTTACGGCATTGGAAATATCATAAGTCGCTTATTACATGGAGTTCCCATTAAATTAAAGCTGATCACATCACAAAACCTTTTTGTGATTGCACTAATCGTAGCTGGTGTGTCCACGTATTTATTACCATTTTGCGAAACATACGAGGGTATTGTTTCAGGTACGTTTTTCATTGGACTATCCACTGGCACTTGCGTTCCACTCGTATTTCTTTGCACAAGAGAGATAGTCGGCATCAAGGATTTCCCAAAAGCCCTTGGTATGGTGATGTTAACTACCGGCCTGGCGGGAGTTACTGGAGGATTTTTTACAGGTATGTGGTCAATACAGTTATTCAACATAGACTAAATACATAATTATCGACAATAGACCTAATGTCATTTTACGTATTTATATATCTCAGAATTTCAAGTGATTATGATTAGTTTTAAATAGACAGTGATTTTTTTTATCACTTCTTCTTGTAACCCTAATAGCCCGGAATCATACGGTATGCAGTGCAACCAGGAACAGATTGCTTACCTGTCACTCGTGTTGACGTTCTTTCATTCATTGTTCACAAAATACTATTTAAAGATGTTCTTTTTGCTAAATATCCCCTTCCTAAATTGTACTATCTTGAGTTATTGTTTTATTGAAAGTACAATAATACATAATATACCCTAGACAAAATGATTGATAAGAAAACAATTCCATAAGAAATATATATTAACTAAATGTGCAAGTTCTGTTCAATTGTCTCTATAGGGTGGATTTACGACTTCTTTGGTTCTTACAACACTGCATTCTTCGTCATCGGATCATTTTTCTTCACTGGTTGTGCTTTCATGATAATTCCAAGTGTTTGGTTAAAGTACAAGAAATCTAGGAAGCGGAACAGTCAATATAATGATGTAAAAGTAAAATTTCAAGTCATTGGTCTGTCTTCTCCAGACACTGTTGGCACCGAAATATAACGACATATTGATCACTAGGCAGTTTTCGCCGCACGAAGGTAACCTTAACGTTAACTGATGACGTCATAATTTATTCATATTGCGTTGCGAAGTACGTTAAATTTTAGGATTTTGCCTATTTGGATTTGTTTGCAAGAGGGGTGGCGCTATCGCGCTGCATGTTGGGTACTAACGTTAAAATTAAGTTTAACATCGTGCAGCGAAAAGTAGCTATTGATGACTGATGTTTGTTTGTTTGTTTGTTTGTTTTTTGTTTTTTTTACAGTATTACTGATAGAGGTTGTTGTTTCTATTGATGACATTCACTTTTATCCTTAAGCATGGTATAATTAATTTGTTTCCACATAGGGGTGTAAGTTGTGGTATACAAATGTCGTATGTTGAATATGTGATTGATCTATGATTAATTACATGCAAAGAGGGGTAGTTACACATTGTCTATGATTATTACTGTTCCAATATTCAGGGAAATAATGTGCTTCAAGCGCTTTCAGACATTAAAAATATAATTTATCTCTTTCTATTTTTAAGTAGTATTATTTATTGTTGTCCCCGGCTAAAAATGTTAACATTTTTCTTTAATATTCAACATTTTTTCCTGAGTATTGACATTTTCGTGGGGCTAGCAGTTGATGGAGCTCTCCATTTGCCTTAAATGTTTTATATTGATATTTATTTATCACTTAAACTTGAATAAAGTAAGAACGAAATTATATCAAGAATTAATAGTAATTGCTGTAGACGTTTATAGCGCATATTAGGTCTCTATGACAAATTTCCAATGGAAGTTGAGTAAAAGAAATACATAGGATGAAGGAGAGACAAAAGAAAACAAGAACAACAAAAGCCATCAAAACAGACAAACAATATACAGTAGATGGATAATAACAGATGAGTTTTAAATAAGAAAATGGAGTGAGATACTAAAATGTTTAAATCAGGTTTTTTTCGAATTTCCAAAGGTATTTGAAAAATAAAAGCAAGTAGAAATTTGATAAAGGGGGTAGTAAGTTAGGTAATATAATAATATTATATATTTATGTTCTCAAATGAAGAAAAAAGGTGAAGCCAAGGAGGAACAAGCTTCTTTTACAAAGTGGGCATCCCCAAATGGCATTGAATAGTTTGAATCTAGTATGTATATCTGTCTCTTATACACATCTAGTATAGAGCTATGTTAATGCTAAGTGTTGCAATTTAACAACGTTTTTATCATATTGTTTGTATTGTATGTTAGTAACAAATAAAATAAACAAATTAGACACTTTCTTCTGAATGGTTTATTCATCATTTTTAAACAAATACAAACCGTCTTTTATAAATCTGATAGAATTTTAACAAGACCAGAACTAAATAGCTTATGAAAAGACCTAAAATGGTATTAACTGCTACTCATAATACAGATCAAAACGAATATTTAACATCTTAATAGTAAAAAAAATTAATACTGTAAAAAAATTATTAAACAAGAGCGACCGCTCACAAGGTCCGCGCGTTCCTCCATAATACGGTACAGGCGCAAATTATTATATTGGGTTTTTGGAAGAGCTAATAAGATAGGAATTTTTAAATAATTAGAATGTTTATTTGTACAAACAAAAAACATTTAGAATGATCGTTTGTACAAAATTGAGATTAAATACGCGATTCAAACTTACGACCTTAAGTTCTTTAGAATACATTCTTAACCGACCACGCCATTCATGCGACGTACACTATTACGGTTGTGGTAAATAGTAGTAATGTACAGTCCTTGCTGAAACGCCCTGTTTTGTTTTGTAGGTGTAGGGGAAACCCAACTTAAAAAAAAAAGACGATGAACGTTTGTTTGAAATCCCCTCTAGTTTATGTGTACAAAATGTCCTGCACTTCCGTTCAAAGCGGGCGACGCTGGACGCTTTTAAAGTTTGAAACCCCTGTTTTGTTTTGTAGGTGTAGGGGGAACCCTGGGGTCCAAATTAAAAAAAAATCGATGAACGTTTTTGGAAATCACATCTTGTTTACGTGTACAAAATTTTATGCACGTCCGTTCAAAACTGGAGACGCTGGACGCTTTTAAACCCCTGTTTTGTTTTGTAGGTGAGGGGGAATTCTGGGGTGCAACTTAAAAAGGGCGATGAACGTTTGTTGGAAATCACCTCTAGCTTATGTGTACAAAATGTCATGCAGGTGGAACCCTGGGGACAATTTTTTAAAGTTTTGGTAACAAGAACAAGAACAAGAATAGTAGTGAGTAAAAACGCCTTGAACAGTGGTGTGATGAAAATTACCTATGCCTTAATATCAAGAAAACGAAAGAAATGATATTTGATTTTCGAAAGAACACAGCCAAAGATCCGTTAATGTTAAAAGACAAAGTAGTAGATAAGACTAGTGAATATAAGTACCTTGGAGTTTGGCTAGATGATAACTTAAAATGGAACACTAACACACCTAAACTTAGAACTAAGGTGAACCAAAGACTATATTACTTACGTAAACTTAAACATTTCAATGTGGGTACTGATGCTCTTTCACTTCTCTATCAAAGCATGATACAATCAGTCTTTAGTTTCTGTATCACCTGGTTCATGGGACTGACCAAAGAAGATTCTGAGTGTCTCAGTAGGCTAACATGGTCAGCAAGTAAAATAATAGGTATGGAGGTCAATGACTTAAGTTGTTTACTACATTCCATGTCATATTCCTCTCCTGGACCTCGCAATATAATTCAAACATTGTTTAAATTCCATGTGTATATATTGTTATATTCATATTTAATATGTCTGTAAATTGTTGTCTTGTATATTATAGTGATGCTTTCGATATCTACTGTTTGCTTTCAACTCAAAGAAATCTAAAATCTTGAATCTTGAATCTTGAAAACTAAAATCAATGTAATCAGCATAGTCATTGTTAAGAGGTCTAACGATAGTAAGAAATTCTAGTAGGCACTTCAAGCAATCGGTATGATCTTAAATTTCTACTTAGTTTTGTGATAATTACGTAATAATTTTCTGAAAGTATCAGACTTAAGACATTTTTAGCCAGGCTCAAGATAAGTACCTTTCTTCTGTGTTTTAGAGTAGGTACATTTAAAACATTGCAGGCATTAACATAATTGTTAATCATGAGAGCATCGTACTGAGAATTCTTAATTGAGTCGGGTGACCCATAGTGGGTGGAGGAAGGTTAAATGCATCATCGGCACTGGTACAAGATCATCCCCGCATAAAGTTCGGTTGAACCAAGTCATCCTGGAAGAGGACAGTGAGAACCGGAATATTACATATTTGTCACTGAGAAGTGCTTGGGTGTGTGCGTGTGTATGTTTAATATTCAAACATCAAAGAGGCGAAGCTACTAAGGAACATTTTGTCGAGGACAAAATGCCATATTAATTTAAATTTGAATTATGAAAGCATTGTTAAATGTTCAGTTGAATGTTTTATCCAAAATATATTCTATATTAATCGAAATTATATATACTGGTACAATATTACATACCGTATGTTACCATTAATTTACATAATCATGGTATGGTTAATAATAATTATTCCTCCTTGATTCACACTGAATTTCGTGTTGAAATAGGCTTAACCCTTTAGGTGGTAAAAATAACAATGCTAGAAAAAAGAAAACAAATAAACTATAAAAGTAGTAAACAACTGCACATGTGATTTTAGCTACCGTACCGTATATCAACAATATCACACCAACTCAGACAGTTAAAGTAATTCAGTTGAGGAGGGATGAATGGCCTCACCCGTCAGGGCTGCTACGCCCCCACCCTCTCTCGTCAAGATAATATTCAATTTGTAGGGGAGGAAAAAAATCCGTGTCATTTTTACAGAAATCTAGACTCTAAAATCAATTAAATAAGGCTTAAATCTAAAATTCTTGCATTGTCGGAGTTTCCGGGGAATTTGTCCTAAAACCCCCAACGTATGGTTCCTTCGACGAAATCGGCCCTTCACGTTGGGGACATCGACCCCCTCTCCATTTTGCAAAATCCTGGCGTACCACTGCTTTATACATAGAATTATGTTTAATCTCTATAAATTTGAGCAGAGCAGTTTAAATGATGATTTATAGTGCCATCCATGGGAACTTCTAAATTTTAATTACAATACTGAACCAGGGACTTCTCCCTGACTGAACGAGGAAGAGTTCATCTCCCTGGTCTAACAATTATGAGTTTTTAACTTTCAATAAAAATAATACAGATCAAAGCAAGTAGGCCTAAAGTTTTAAAGACATTACGAAATCCGTTGTTTACTAGCCAATTGTACCGGGACTAGGCAAGTAAAATAGGAACTTTACAATCTATAGGCATGTCTGTTAATTTATAAGGAAAATAGTTGTATTGATTTTAAATGAAAGGTGATAATTTAGCCTACAAAACAATTTTTTAAAGCTCTTTTAGCATTACACAGACGGTTAATTTGCATTACAATCCGAACGTTTCTTCTTAAGAACCAAGATATACCATCAGCTACGATTTGTAGCATATGACACATAGTGTACCGAAAACCTATAACTATTTGATAACAATACTGTACCTATATTCATTTAAAAAAAATTATGATTAGGCCTAAATAAAAAAAAAACATTAAAAAGTATAAAGATGACCTCTAAGAAACTCCGAGGTGAATTAATTTCTATGAAGATTTGTTTGTTTTGTTTTGTTTGTTTTGCACTTGATAATAATGCGGCACTGGCATATGGGTCAATATTTAGCAACAATTACTGATCGTTTTTATCTGTGTGCCACCCTGTTCCCTCATTAAATACAACGCACAAAGGTCATGCTGCGCCTGTATTCATATTGGGCACATTACGTAAGAGGACGGGGAACCGTCTACAACGGCAATTCGTAAGCGCCCAAGTGACGCTCTGATGATGAACATAGAACCACTGTCCACCCGTCTTCGCGTCCAGTTGCGTCTAGAGGCAGTTCTTATTCAGCTAAAAGCATCAATGTAGGCCTACATCATCAGTTCTGAAATTGACCGGTTGTGATGTGGCGAAATGGCAGTAATTTGTCAATCATAGTTAGTTGCATATCTCTTTATTAAAGAAATACGCTATCTGACGAAAAAATGAACATGGCTGACATTTTAAAAGAAGAGAATAAATCATCGCTGCCTTTCATCAGAACCATCACGTTAGTTGCTGGTGCGCATATTGTTTTGGCACTCACTGATGGAGCAACTACATCCTTCGGAATATTCCTCACTGACATCGCAGACGAACTCAATGTGGGTCTAAGTGTGATAGGAGCAGCTGCGAGTTTACTTACCTCAGTTTTTCTTTTTTTCAGTAAGTAACACGTGCAGTAGGAGGGTTGGGGTGACTTTGCTGCAGACCCCAACAGATTTTAGTCCGAGCACGGGCCTATTGGAAGTTTAATTTCTCACGCATCCAAATTAGACGAATATCCAAAACGCAAGCTCAGGCCTACATAAAACAAATCAAGCTTTTGCCCAAGTATATTCAATATCAATCAGCATGAACACGATAAAACCCACGAAACAGTCCTCTAATATACTAAAATCCCGGATGTTCTACACTTAAATAATATTTTAATTCAAATTTGTGAGAAACTGTTGGTTGTAAGGCAGTGCACCCTCCAATGGACCTTTCCGCTAAGCTCCGCCCCTTGGATATTGTTGCTTAGGTCCCACAAAGACAGCAGTGTTAAAGCATACGCGACACGTGCGTTTGTGGGACAACACGTGTGTTTGTAAGACGCGCGCGCATTCCAAGCGCTGTTCTGATTAGTCAGTTGTTAAGTTTGATTGACACTCCGGAAAGGTCTATTTGAAACCCCTCTAATTCAAGACCATGGACTTTTCCAAAGACCCATAACAATCTTCAGCCTTTTAACGCAAAGCTAGCGCTCTAATTGGAGACCAACCCCGAGAAAAAAATTATATACTCTAAAATCGATTAAATAAGCCGTTGAAACCCCTAAATTGTCATATTTTCTGGGGGCTACGTCCCCTGGACCACTTTCGAAAGGTCTTTAGCGACGTCTGACCACGCCCACTTTTTTTCTCGCCTGGAACATCTCCCCTCACCCCACCCCTGTATCCTGGCGCCCCACTGCCCCATTCTCGTTTCAAAGGATGGGCTTTATGGTGAACAATAGCCAATTATCCTGCCGAGACTTGTTCCACCTCCAGAAATAGGCAGAACATAATACTACAAATTACTTAAATCAGATCTACATTTGACATAAATGTTACTGTTCTTTAACAACCTTTGCAAACAACGTAGGGTTTCTTAGTCCCATGGTCCTTTGACATTTTCTGTTGTGCTCACAAGTGATTTCGCTTCGTTTTATCATGGAGGTATACCTCCATGGTTTTGCTTTACTTGTACACATAAAACAGATACATGACCCTGGAAAATTAACATCGGTTAGTATCTCGTAGCCCCTAAATGTCTGGTTTGAACCAGTAAAAACATCATTTTTTAACTTTTTACAGTTTAACACAGTCTCCTACAATTTTTAGGTCCTGTCGGTGCCTATATTGCAACAAAACTTGGATGTCGAAGAACCATAGTGATTGGTACATTAATGATTTCAGTTGGATTCATGTTATCATCGCAAGTACGAGAGACCTGGCAGCTGTTTTTTAGTCATTCTGTAGTCACAGGTAGAGTCAGATTATATATATAT